GCGATTTCGCAAAACCTGTCGGCGAGTGAAAAATCGGGCTAAAATCGTGCAGTGTGAACTCGGCATAAGACGAACAATTCCGGACAAGGGAGAACAGAACGGGCTAAAACTCAAATAGGGCCGATAACGAGGGGCAGACAGTTGAGGAGGATAACTAATAATGAGACACAGGGAGAAACTAATGAACTATGATGACAGGAACAGGAAGATAACCAAATAAGGGCATAATGTCACACAGGGAGCACGTGGGGGAAGAAAACATACAAGACATGGAACAGAGTCTGACAACTACAGTGCATGGAGCAAATCACATATAGTAAACGCAGAAGCTTTTGTGTGCATCATACACTAGAACAAACCTCACTGGCTCTTGTGCATCACACTTGCATGTCTGAGCTCTCTGTATGTGTGTAAATATATAGTGAACAGATTTAATTTACGCTTTAAAGCAATTGTATCTCTTCACAAGAATTAATCCACTCGATTCATATTAATTTGTTTGTTTTACAAACCCTTTATAATCTTTAAAATTCTCTAAGTTCTAACCCATCTAAGTTAAAAATGTCTTAATTTGTGTTTCAAAGATGAACCAAAGTCTTATGGGTTTGGAACGATACGAGGGTGAGTAAATGATGACAATTTTCATTTGCTTTTCAAAGGAACTTGTGCTGCATCAAAACACTGTGGGAGCGCCTCTGGCTCTTGATTGAAGCATGTGTGAAATCAGTCCAATGGAGCGGCGAGACGTCACGGGCAGGGTGATGTAGAAACCAGTGGCCGGATTCATGAAACATTCTTAAGAAGAAATTAATCTTTTGCATTATTCAGCGCATATGAATGCGCAGGATGCGTTTGCTGTAGCAGCGCGGACACACATACCGGAAGCGTTCACTCGGATGAGAGCGCAAAAACACAGCACAAAAATGAATTAAACATATCGCTGTAGCTTGAGACAGGCTATTTTAAAAGTAACTGTTCAAAAACACGGCGCATTAAAAATGTGAAGCTGAGTGCCAGTCAAACTCACGACGAAAATAATGTGCGTGCTTATTAAGATTATTAGGGTAATTTGCAGGAAGCGCAAAAAGACAATAAAGTGTGAGTTCATCAGTGCGTCATGTATTCACTCAGATAACGACTGTTATTTTCTTCTTAAGAAAAAAATTAAGATGTTCTTAAGAATTTATTTGAGAACTTACTAAGAATTTTTCAAGAATTGCACTTAAGAACATTCTTACGAACTTCGTGGAATTTATTTTAAGAAATTTCTTAACTTATTTCTTAAGAAGATTTTCGTGAATCCGACCCCAAGTCGCTTAAAAGTGGAACAAACAGCATTAGCTTCTCTGTCTTCAGCAAGCATTCTGTGTATGTCAGTCGGAGTTTATGTTTGTTTGTCTGTGCCAGTGCACAATCAATGTCAAATAAGTAAAATATGGTGAGCAAAGAGTCTAAATAAGGCCTATAAATCTACATGATTGTGTGTTCCTCCCTGCCCCGCGCTACATTACGGGTGGGAACACACACGGTTCCGGTCCCGCTGCAGTCGAGGCAGAGCAGCGATTGAGATTGTGGGACTCGCAAACTGATCTAGTGAGAGATGGGCTCTGCCTTATATAAAATAAACCATATTCAGCCCAGCTCTTCAGCCCTAATGTATCAGACAATGCAAACATCAAGGGGTTGAATGATCAGGGCTATGGGGCGATGCCTAAGGTGGAGCAGATGCTTGCGAGCGATCTGTCCCTTGATACAGCATCGTCTCTTAAGTCTCCAACATTACCCACCAAGCCATGTAGAACAACTTCGGCTCTGGTGGGTAAGGTGGCAGGTCAAGCCAAGGGATGTCTGCAGGCATACCAGGCTGACCTGTTAAAAGACCTTGATGAGAGCGAGGGGGTAGGTACGGAAACAATCCAAGAACTGGACCAGGCCACCGATTTGTCTCTTCGGTCCAATAAGGAGACGGCTAGAGACATCAGCCATTCTATGGAAGCCCTGGTGGCCATGGATGGAAACTATGAACTTGTCTGACATCATAGAGAAGGGCAAGTTTTTCCTCCTGGATGCTCCACGTGCACCTTCTGGCCTGTTCAGTGCCGCTGTCACCTTAGTCGTCGACAAGTTGTTGGAGGTTAAATAGCAGGCAGCAGCATTCCAGCGCCACCTCCCTTGCCGACCTCAGGTCTTGGGGGCTGCTGGGAGGGAACAGCTCCTGGTATTGCACCACTCAGAAGCAGAGTGTTGCTTTCTGTGATCCCTGTGATGGGTTAAGCCTGCAGGCCAAGAAGAGTGTGCTTTTTCCAGTACAGAGGACCACTTATCTTGGCGTGATATGGGATTTGATGATGATATAGGCACGTCTGTCTCCTGCTCATATCGATTCGATTCTTGTAGCCGTAAACGGATTGAGGCTAGGCCAGTCACTCACTGTAAAACAGTTTTAGAGATTGTTGGGTCTGATGGCAGCAGCATCCAATGTGATACCTTTTGGCCTGCTGTCCATGAGACCTTTGCAGTGGTGGCTCAGAACCAAGGGATTTTCCCTGAGGGGCAACCCACTTCGCTTGATCAAGGTCACACACCCCTGTTAAAAAACACAGCATATGCTGGTTAGGTATGTTTTGAAGCATGGCTGCTGGTTTGAGCTGGTTTAAGCTGGTCATGTGCTGGTCCTAAGCTGGTCGTGAGCAGGAGCTAGTTGCTTAGGACCAGTTTAGGACCAGCACATGACCAGCTAAGGACCAGCTTAAACCAGTTCATGACCAGCTAAGGACCAGCTTAAACCAGCTCAAACCAGCAGCCATGCTTCAAAACATACCTAACCAGCATGTGCTGTTTTTTTCAACAGGGATAATGCCATACATTCATGTGGAAGAAGCCTTGGTTCTTGTCCCAGGGTCCTTGTGTTGGGAGCTCCTTGTCATCGCGTAACGCTTACAACAGATGGTTGTCATCGCGTAACGCTTACAACAGACGCTTTCACTGGTTGAGGAGCGATCACGAATTGTTCGCTCAGCTCAGGTCTGTGGGGAGACATCATCTCTTGTGGCACATCAATTGCCTGGAAATGCTGGCTGTGTTCTGAGTAAACCCAGCGCAACCCAGCAGCCATGCTTCAAAACATACCTAACCAGCATGTGCTGTTTTTTTCAACAGGGATAATGCCATACATTCATGTGGAAGAAGCCTTGGTTCTTGTCCCAGGGTCCTTGTGTTGGGAGCTCCTTGTCATCGCGTAACGCTTACAACAGATGGTTGTCATCGCGTAACGCTTACAACAGACGCTTTCACTGGTTGAGGAGCGATCACGAATTGTTCGCTCAGCTCAGGTCTGTGGGGAGACATCATCTCTTGTGGCACATCAATTGCCTGGAAATGCTGGCTGTGTTCTGAGCATTGAAATACTTTCTCCCAGACCCGAGAGGCCATCATGTGCTTGTTCGTACAGACAACACATCTGTGGTCTCTTACAGCATCCATTTTGCAAGTTGCACACCAGATCCTCCTGTAGGCTCAAGGAAAACTGGTCTCCCAAGGGGGTGGAGCAGATTTGGAGGGAGTTCGGCCAGGCAGAAGTGGACTTGTTTGCGTCTCAAGAAACGACACACTGGCTACGTTTACATGCAACCAAATAATCCGTCAGTAATCGGATTGACGGCTCAATCGGACTGAAAACCTTCATGTAAACACCTTAATCGATCCGATTGAGCACAATCTGAATGAGATTTTGATCGGATTGAAAGGGGTGGTTTATTCCTTTTCTAAAACACTTGATCGAATTGAAAACCGAAACTGAAAGGACTGCGCATGTGCAATGACACCGAAATAGCATAATGACACATGACGCGCCGAACGAGCCATTCTTTCCGTTGATAAAGAGTTGTATAAATTAATGTCCTGTCATTATAAAACTCTCCTTTCACTCAGCGTCTGTGAAGTGGAGCAGGACAACATCCCACCAGTCCTTGTTTCGGATTCTCATCCAGGGACGACATATAAGCAGCATGGCACAGTGGTTGATATGTAATATTTATCCAGAAATGGATACATATTAATTCCGCAGTTTAAAACAAATAAAGAAACCATGTCGGAGAGTGGTTATGATGTGCAAACGGGGAAACTCTATATTTGTTCAGTGTGCTCATGTCCAAAAAAATGTATTCTAATTTGAAGCTTGTGACATATAAACATGCACATCAACCCGATCACTTTATTTAGCCTTCATGTGAACACTACTTTCAGATTCATAAATTGAATTGAATTGAATTCAGTCTGATTGAAACAAAAATTGTGCATGTAAACAGCCAATGTCTGCTCTGGTTTTCCCTCATGTGAACTTCTCTCGAACTGGATGCCATGGTACAGGCATTGCTGAGGCTGCGTCTGTATGCATTTCCCTCAATTGCTCTGCTGTCAGGTGTTCTGGAGAGAGCTCACCAGGACAGGGTCCATCTGTTACTAGTAGCCTTGTTCTGGCCGGCTCGAGTATGGTTCTCAGACCAAGGCCCTCCTCGACGGCTTTCCATGGGAGGTTCCGGTTAGGTGGGACCTTTTGTCTTAGGCAGGGGGCTCAATCCTTCACCTGGAGTTATGGACGCTATGGGTGTGGCCACAGAGAGGGCACAACTTACAGATTCTGGTCTCTCAGCTGAGGTTGCTGAGAACATACTCCACTCCAGAGCTTCCTCCATGAGGAAACAGAACGCCTTGAAGTGGGCACTGTTCGTTTGGTGTGGAAATCGACAGCAGGACCCAGTTTACTGCCTGGTTGGTTCAGTGCTGGAGTGATTCACAACAAGGTTATCTCCCTCCACCTTAATGGTATACGTACGTGGTTGCCAAAGCTGCTCACTAGAACCCCTTTGGGTGGTCAGTCATTGGGAAAAAAACCTGTTAGTGACCGTTGGTGCACTCAATGCAAAGGATGGTGGCTTCTAAACCCTTTCTTTCAGGGGTGTCCCTGCAGGACATTTGTGATGTGGCGGGCCATTCTTCCTCACTCACATTCATCAGGTTCTATTATTTAGACCTGGGATCTCTGCCAAGCTTTTAAGTTCTCCTCTCTTAGCTTTGCTCACCATGATTCATGGTAGACAGGTATTCGTCAGTATGGCCAGTATGGTCTTTCCCACAGCGTTTCGAGTTCCCTTGAGAGGGAACGTCTCAGGTTATGTCTGTACCCATAGATCCCTGAAAGGGAACGAGACACTTCGTCTCCCTGCTATACTCCCCAGTCTTCGGTGTCACATGATCATTCAGAAATCATTCTAATATGCTGCGCTGGTAATAGAGATGTCATGTTCCATCTGCATTCTGTTTCTAAAGACTTTTACTATGGACTGAAGTATATTTTTGGTATTTGTGTTCAAGTTTTCCCATGTTTAATTTCTGTTCCTCAGTTTCCAGAGCTGTTGATTACGTTTCCATGGTTTCTGATTGTATGCATTTGTTTTCTTGTTTAGCCTCTTGTTATTTCCTATATAGACTGTTGCAAATTCACTCCTGTATCATCTTCACGTTTACATTAAAACTGCACTTACATCCAAACCATGTCTGCTTGGAAACCATGACAGAAGTTTGGACCAAATATTATGGCTCTAGCAGTGGAACAACTCCTCCTCCTCACCTAGGATGCTCAATACCCTGAAAACCACACCTGTGAGTTCTTCCATCTGGCAAACTCTGTGCACTTACTGGACAGGTCCCTAAGTTCCTTTTTCTATGTCTTTGAGAGATATTTTGTGACTTTGTAGAGCTGGGTGAGGTGGAGGAGAATTCCAACCTTCTAATATCCACTCCAGCCCCAGAGCTCATGTCAGAGTCTGCTTCAGCCCCAGAGCTCATACAAGGGTCTGCTCCAGTCTTTGAATTGATCTATTTATTTATTTATTTATTTTTGCACAGATAGAACACAAGGATGGTTTGTCCCAGAGCCATCTCCCACCGCCCTGTCCATCCTGGAGTCAGCGCTGACCTCCCTGTCCATCCAAGAGCCAACACCTGCAGTCAGGTCAAAACTGCAGACTCTTCCCATAATTATTTTCACCCCAAGAGTCCTATCTGAGCAGTTAATTACTCTCTTTGTCCCAGCCACTGAGGCTGCCTCCCCAAAATTTTTTGCCAGTCACATCCAGCTTGGTTGACTTCAGTTCAACTTGGTTCTAGCCATTTCCTTGGCTTCCCTCCACTGGTTCCATCCAGCACAAATGACTCACCAGTCTCATCCATCTCCCTAGCCCTTCCTCCTCAATCAGGATCTTCTACATCAGCTACCCTGACTCCCCCAATTGCTGCTGCTCTGCCGGTTCTCCCCAGTCCTCCAGCTTCACCGCTGTGACCCCCGTCTTCTGGCTCCACCACTGTCCTCAGTCACACCGGCTCTACCTTGCCATGCCCCTCTAAATCCCCCGGCTCTGCCTCAGACCTCTCCCGTTCAGTGGTCCTGGCTTTTCTCACCTGGGAGCCACCATTACCTTCCTGTGACCTGGACATTCCTTTCTTTTTTATTGTGCTAGCTGTGTTCTATGTTTCTAAGGACTTTTACTTTGAAGTATATTTTGATTCGTTTTGGTGTTTGTGTTCAAGTTTTTCAGTGTTTAATTCCTGTTCCTTTTCGTTTCCAGAGTGACTGATTATATTTCCATAGTTTCTGATTGTTCACACCTGTTTTTTTGTGTAGCTCCTCGTTATTCCCTTCGTATATATAGCCCTTTGTTTCCTTAGTCATTTGTCTGATATTGTCTTGATGTTTTGCATTTGCGGTTGGCTTCCTTGTTTTTTTTCTTCAAGTTATTAACTAGCTTCACTCCTGTATCATCTTCATGTGCTTATATTAAAGCTGCTCTTAGATTCTAATCACATTTCCTTGCGATCCGTAGTTCAAAGAAACATTTTTCAATCAATCCTAATCCTGGAGCCCCTTTGGATATCTCCCTCATCAAACATACCTGATTCAGCTCATTACAGAAAATAAATATTTTGTAATATTATGAATGCATTTGTTGTCACTTTTGACCCATTTAATGCATCCTTGCTGGATAAAAGTATTAATTTCTTAAAAAAGTAATACAAAATAATTAAATATCTCACTGACCCCAATGATCTTTCAGATGAGCAAACACTCTACACGTTCTTCTATCTTCCAGAGGACAACAATAGAAGGTCTGTGATGTATGTATGTGTGAGTGGCGATACAACTGATCACATTAAAATCAAAGTCACAGCATGGCTTTGTGAGATTATTAAAACACAAAAGGCTTTTTTTTGTCTTCTCATTTTTATGTCTTATTGTCTTATAATGAAACTCACGGCAGTCTTTCTCATCCTCTCCTTCCCCGCAGTTGTCTTGGCCGTTACAGCGGAATATTCCAGGAATACAGCGACTGGGATTGGTGCATTTAAACTGACTGGGCAAACACACGTGAATATCTGCAAATCACACATACAAACACATTAGTGGAGTAACAAAGGTGATATGCTTATTGCCCTATTGGAGGCAGCTGAGGGAAAGTCATATTTTCAGTCAAAAGATGGGAAAATATAACATTACTTATTAAAGCAATTATTCTCAAGTGGTAATGTGTTACCGCAATCTTACCACATATAATACAGTGTACTTATAGGCACAAAGTCAAGCTCTTTAAAAACAGCAGCAATAGCAATATTCTAAAAAACCCTATAGTGTTCAATAAATACACTACTTGTACTTACTATTAACAATATTCTGAATAATCCTATAGTTCACGAGCACAGTATTAATACTGTTTGTGCATATTCTGTAAATACTGTTCTGGATATCTGAAGTCTGGTAGACAAAGTATACATATCAAGTACTTTAGTTTAAGTGCAGGTACCCTCATAAAATATTACTCCAATAAGTACTCATTTTCAATTTTACGTGAGTAAGTACTTGATTTTTAAAGTAAGGTCAAGTTAAGAAAGTAAAATGTACTGTTGTTAATGTTTATTTATTTTGCAGTTTTACTTATCTAAGATTAGTGGATGAAGAGATCAAATTTGTACTGATCTGCAAATAAGTTTTATTTTATTACCAAAACATATGCTATTATAACATTAAATTTCAATATGCATAAGCAACTGTGCAAAAAACTTCACATAGGGCAAAATGTGTTAATATTTTAGGAAGAATGATTTGCAAATATACTAGTTATATATCTCATTACATCATTATATGAACTGCTATAGCAGAGAGGATTGTGCATGAGCATTCACTTGCATTATTTTAACATTATCTAGTTACATAGTTAGAACAGCTGCAATTAGATCATAAATGATTCAACTGAAAAGAAGCAGCTTGTTCACGAATCAACAACGCTATCACGCCTTGATTTCTTCAGTTCAAAATAACAAGGAACAATATGTTTTTATGAAATTCAGTGGAGTAAAAAGTGTGATATTATGTTTTGGAATATAGTGAAGTAAAGGTTTTCCAAAATAAAAATATTCTGATAAAATACAGCTATCTGAAAAATGTACTTAAGTACAGTAAAGTAACAGTAAAAATCCATTGTGACATTTTGCGCAGATGAAAAACAGAGGTGGTGTGTGGTGAAGCATACCGCAGTTGGCCTCGTCAGAGTTATCCTGGCAGTCGTTGTCTCCGTCACAGATGTACGCTGGGTTTGTACAGATCCCAGTATCACACTGGAACTGACCTGGTCTGCATTTAAACTCAGCTGTTGAAAGAAATATGTACAAATGTGCTTTTATTACACATCTTAGTTATGCTACAGGGAGAAAATATGTCTCCTACAATCCACATCACTCACGGCAGTCGGCAGGCTCGTCGGATCGGTCGCCACAGTCGTCCTCGGTGTCACACTTCCACCAGAACGGGATACACTTGTCGTTCTTGCAGACAAACTGATGAGAGATGTGGAGGAACATGTGGTACGTGTCATTCTGATTTAGACTGGGTTTAAAGGGTTAGTTCACCCAAAAATGAAAATTCTGTCCCTATTCTGAAAAACCCGTAAGACCTTCGATCTTCTTCGGAACACAATTTAAGATCTTTTTGATGAAATCTGAGGGCTCTCTGACCCTCCCATACACAGCAAGGTAACTACCACGTTCAAGGTCCAGAAAAGTACCAAGATGATCGACAAAGTAGTCCGTGTGACATCAGTGGTTCAACTGTAAAGTTACGAAGCTACGAGAATACTGTTTTGCGCGAAGAATAATAAATAAACGACGCTATTCCACATTTTCGTCTCTACTGCGTCACTTGTGGACGCGCGTTCATGACAGTACCATGAGCGACAGAGCGTGTGGCGGCGCCGGCGATCTTGGTACTTTTCTGGACCTTGAACGTGGTAGTTACCTTGCTGTGTATGGGAGGGTCAGAGAGCCCTCAGATTTAATCAAAAATATCTTAAATTGTGTTCCGAAGATGAACGTAGGTCGTATGGGTTTGGAACGACACGAGGGTGAGTAATTAATGGCAGAATTTTCATTTTTGGGTGAACTAACCCTTTAAGTCTAAGGTCATGATCTGGGTCAAGTATCACGTGCTCACCTGGCTGGCGGTGCAGTTGGACATGCACTGCTTCCCATCAGCGGCCAGGTAGAAGTTCGTGGGACAGGCACATTTATAACCTCCGCCCGGAGAGAGCAGACACAAGTTACTGCAGCCGCCATTGTCTGTCTGGCACGGGTGATTTGTGACTACAGCGGGAGACAAGAGAGCGCTACATTAAACCTATAACATCAAGGCATAAAACAAGATCATCTAAGCTGGCCTCAGTAAGTGAAGTGTGTCTTTGACAGTGGTGTCCTGACCCTCTGGCTGTCTGCAGGGGTGGTAGATGTGGACGTCCATGGGTCTGTGTAAGGTGCTGATCAGCATGGTCTTGTTGGTGCCCAGTGTTTTATGAGCTCTGTTGATAGACTTGGTCTCCCAGTCGGTCCAGTAGATGTACTCCTCAAAAAGAGTCATGGCGAATATGTGCGGGATGTCCTGAGTCAAAACTGCAGCACAAACACAGGGATTATTTACTACACAAACATCACACAGCGACCTTGCATAATCGAAGATAAAATATTCTCCTCAGAAGCACATTAAAAGTTCCCTGAAGCACTTTGTAGGAATTTTACAATTATTATTTTAATTCAGACTTTAGACTTTATATTATCACATAATATATTATTTTTAGTGCTGTCAAACGATTAATCACGATTACCCAAATAAAAAATAAAAGTTTTTGTTTACATAATATATGTATGTGTACTGTGTACAGGGCCGCATTAACCATTGGGCTAGGCGGGGCTGAAGCCCCGGGGCCCGGACAAGGAGGGGGCCCGTGATTGGCTGTGGGGTATTTTGACTGGTCATGGTAGCGCCGATTGCCAAAGCCCTGCCCCTCACATATTAGCGCTATTATTTAGTGGAGCTTTTCCATATATTCCATGCATTACCTTTAGAGATTAAAACGTAACGTTTGAATTTGGTTTAACAATCAAATGCATTTATTCTATATTTTTACTTTTGAACGACCCGTGCACCACGTAACAATGAGGTGATCTCCGTAAATTCCATGCATTACCATTTGAGATTGAAACGTAACGTTTGAATTTGGTTTAACAATCAAATGCATTTATTCTATATTTTTACTTTTGAACGACCCGTGCACCACGTAACAATGAGGTGATCGCTGCAATATCTGCGTCCTCTCTTCACTTCGTTCTGGCATAATCTGGAAATGGTCATGCAAAGAGCAATCTTCGATAAGTAAAAATGTAAAGTATTCTAAAAAGAAAGTGAGAGAGGGGCTATTCTAAAAAACTGAGGAGGGAGGGGAAAACATGTGTTAGAGAGTCAGTAAAATTCCCAGCTATCAGGTTATTTTACTAAAGCTGATGATGGAGTGGAAGTTGTGAAACAGCAAGTGGACCGGGCACATGGAGCAGATAAAATCACAGCGTCATCGTCCCCACAGATTTTAGGTTAGTTTGATTAACAAGTTAACAACTTGATGGATGTATATTGCTTTTTGTGTTTGAACAAAGTATATTCGCTTATGGGTTGAGAGATAAACCATATAGCCTATCAATCGTTTTGCGCGGCATGATGTAGGTTAAGCTTTTCATTTTAACGCATTTTAAGCATTGTGGTTTAAAAACAAATGTAACTGTTCAGGGACATTAAGCAGTGGGGCAGAATTCATTTTGGCAAATGCGAGCATTAAGACGGTTACGGCCTGATTCGCGTGGCGCACACCTGCTCGTACAGCGCCAGTCTAAACTTGAGTTATTTTTCGCGCCTTGTGCTTAAACGTTCAAATGCACAATATATATATATATATATATATATATATATAAATGTATAAATATAATATAAACGTAAATATTTTCCAATATATACAGGCATGCGTTTGTATTTATATATACATAATAAATATACGCAGTACACACTCATATATTATGTAAACAAAAAACTTATTTGGGATGCGATTAATCGTTTGACAGCACTAATTATTTTATATACTACTGTTCAAAAGTTTGGGGTAAGTGAGAATTAAGCAATGATGCATTAAAATCAGCAAAAATCACAGTTAAGACATTTATAATGTTACAAACTATTTATATTTCAAACTAATTTTGGTCTTTTGAACTTTCTATTCATCCAAAAAATCCTGAAAATGTATCACAGTTTCCACAAAAAATATGAAGCACCACATCTGTTTTCAACATTGATAATAATCAGAAATGTTTCTTGAGCAGCAAAGCAGCATATTAGAATGATTTCTGAAGATCATGTGACACTGAAGACTGGAGTAATGATGCTGAAAATTCAGCTTTGATCACAGGAATAAATTACATTAAAAAAAAATATTAAAATGGAAAACAGGTCAATTATAATAATAATAATAATTCAAAATATTACTATTAATACTGTATTTTTATCAAATAAGTGAAGTCTTGGTAAGCATCAGAGACTTCTTAAAAATCATTAGTATATATTTTGTTATTTTATGATTGTATAACAGTTAGTTATCCAGTCATGAAAAGCTTGCTTTGCTTCTTTTTCAACTAGTCATATGGAAGATATGCTAAAATTGGTAAATTGCTAAAGTGTAAGTTATTTTATACTATCCTCTTAACTACAGTTTAACTACAGTCAGTCTTGCTGCTGTACTGAATACAAAAAAAATAAGTCAAAAAATACAGCTCTGATAACTTGTGACCCCTTCACACAATAGCTTATATTTGAGTTTTGGTCTTCACCTGTATGTCTGTTGGATCCGTCTAAGCTGGCAAACTCGATGTAGTCCTCTCTGGCGTCTGCCCAGTAGATGCGATCATTGATGAAGTCCAGAGTGAGACCGTTGGGCCATGTTATCTTGTCCTGTATGATCACACTTCTGTTGCTGCCGTCCATCCCAATGCGGCCGATATGAGGATTATCACCCCAGTCAGACCAGTACAGGTACCTGACAAAGACAGACACTCACACTTTATGATCTTTATTAGCACAAACAGGAAGATGGGAACAAAATAATGAAAAAAGAAAGCAATTAAGGCATTTTCAGTGTTTACCCATTGCGGATGTCCACAGCTATGGCTCTGGGTTCCCTTAGTCCCGAGTTGACCAGCACCGTCCTGTATGCTCCGTTCAGCTTCGACACCTCAATAGTGTCCCGCCCCTTATCACACCAATACAGGTTACCCCCGACCCAATCAACAGCCAGACCATCAGGGTTGCTGAGAGACGTGCGATGGAGAACCTGCAGCAGAGTCAAACCAATGTCCAGCTTCAGAATAGATTTAGTTTTTAAATGAGAATGAGAGTCCGAACAGCTGATAAAATCATCATAACAATCAGTTAACGTCTGCTGCGTGTCTGTAAGAAACAAAACCATTACTTGTTTTTTTAACTTTTGATTTTTACTTGTTGATTTTGGCCAAAATACGACTCAATAATGCATAATAACGCTTCCTCCAGTGAAAAAGTCCATCTCCTGTTGTCTTTCACATCAAAAACCACACACCTAGACTGTTTTGGACCATTTTGGCTTGTAAACGGTGCTTGATCTGTGCAGATTTCTCTCCTGATTCAGGCGAGATTACGATATTATGGATAGAGGACTTTCTTGCAAACACAGATTTGGTCTTCTCAAGATGTTAACTGATGGACTGGAGTGCTGTGGATTACTTGTGGATTATTGTAGTGGTTTTATCAGCTGTTTGGACTCTCATTCTGACGGCACCCATTCACTGCAGAGCATCCATTGCTGAGACACTGATGCAATGCTACATTTCTCCAAATCTTTTCCCATGAAGAAAGAAACTCATCTAGAGTACATCTGGGATGGCCTGAGGGTGAGTACATTTTCAACAAAAGTTCATTTTGGGATGAGCTATCCCTTTAATATTCAAAACACAATGCAGTTGCATGCAAATCACCTGAACATCGCTGCCGTTGATGTGCATGCGTCGAATCATACTGCCTTGAGTCGTCACATCCGTCCAATAGATCATCTGCTGCCTGTAGTCGAAGTCCAACGCAACAGCATTGTTCAGACCCTGCGAATGAAGAGCATTCATGAGGAACCAGGCAAACAACTGGAACGAAATGTTTGAACAACTAGTGTCAAATCATACCTGCTTTAAAAGTGTGTAGTTTGAGCCGTCCAAGTTGAGCTTTCTCAGGTAATACCGGTTAGCAAAGATGAGGAATGGCTCCTCGTCTATACAACGAAGCGAGAGGAAATGAAGACCAATGACAGTAAAAAGAAACACCATAACATGACACTTATTTAAAAAGTGAACTATCTGTAACTCAAATCTTTTATAATGATTGATCTACATTGCAAATGGCAAATCCAGTGCTGAATTCCTTTGGAAAGTGTACTTTTCGTATTTTCACAAGCGGCCCTCAAGCCAAGTATCTAGTTTAACCGTCCTACAATGCAACACGGTCACAAATGTCCTGGACAGATTGGCCGTCTGCCTCGTACCGGAGGTGGACTTGCAGACGGTGGGGTCGGAGGGGCTGAGCTGGAAGCCATCCACACACACACAGCGGAAGCTGCCGTGTGTGTTGATGCAGTGCTGTGTGCAGGGATACGTGGTGGAGCACTCGTCCACATCTACACACGTCTTCCCATCATCCTTCAGTCTAAAGCCAGCGTGGCATCTGCACTGGAGAGAGGAACACACAAGAACGGTAAGCATCGGATTGTGCCAGTGTGAGGGATACCTGTTCATTTTATGATCGCAGTGGTGATTGCATTTATATGAAGGAACCAACAAAGGCACAAATGGATGCATCTTTTACTTCATACACTCTTTTTGCTGATTTATAAATTGATTTATATTATTTATTGCACTTTTTGCTACTTTATAAATGCTTTTTATTTGTAGACTTCATCGTTTTACCCTTGTCTCGTACCCAAACTTTAGTAACACTTTAGGGACAAATTCTCACTATTAGTTTATTAGCATGACTATTATTAACATGCTGGCTGTTTATTAGTACTTATAAAGCACATATTGTGCATGACCATATTTTACATCCATCAAGGCAACAATTTATGTTTTATTAGGGATGTTTAACTCTTTCCCTGCCATTGGTGGAATTTTCCGTGTTTTCACTGTTGTACGGTTGTTGTACGGCTATAACACATCTTCTGAAAGAGTACTGAATCTCGGGATCAAAATAAGGCAAAGTAAGCAAATGCATATGTGAAATAGCACAATCATCAAACATTAAACAGCATATAAATCAATCAAAACTGGCTGATGTTACCCAATGAAATGTCGACCCAGCAAGTGGGTTAGGACTGTGAAGTTTTGTGAAAATGATCAAAAATGCTAGTGTTGGCTTTTTTCTTTTCTTTGTTTTTCAATTAAGTTAAATTAACAAAATACTAATTAAGAGAAAAAATACTGGCAGTGCAATGGGCAAATTTACTAAATGATGAATTGTGAAAGTAAAGAACAATTAAATAAATAATAGTATGCTGTAAAACATGAAACATGATCTAGAAATGTTTACCTTGAATCCGATCTTCAGGTCCTCACACTGCTGAGAGCAGCCGCTCAGTTTACTGTTCAGGCATTCATTAATGAAGCAGTTCAGCTCATCTGTACCGTCGCCACAGTCATCATCGTGATTGCACAGTAACGTCTCACTGATGCATTTACCGTTCCCACATGCATACGCCGTGTCATTACATTTCTTTTCTGCTTGAAAGAAAGAGAGAACCGTTAAATGCATGCACAGATTCGCCCGGCCCTGCAGGTTTCTACTGTAACCAAAGCCTTTTCAAAGATACTCAGTTTGATTTAGTATGAGTTTGTCTGCATTGTTCTGTGACTCAGCACTAGTTTATCCCAAACGCTCTCAGTTCTTTCAGTGCTCCTTCACACTTTGGTAGCATGAAGCCACACAGACTGTTGAACAGACGGTGAGCTTTGTCATTTGGAACGGGGCCAGAGATATCCAGCCAGATTAGCATTTAGTTCATACCAGGCCCGTTGCAGTGAGGATTTTTAGGAGCTTCGTCTGAGTGATCGTGACAGTCGAACTCTCCGTCACACTCCCAGGATTTCTGGATCAGACAGCGGCCGTTATCACAGCGGAACTCATTGGCCTTGCATGCAGGATACTCTGCAAAGACAAACACAGACCCATGAGCACAAATAATACAGTGAAGTCGAAATGATTAAAAACATGCACTTGTGTAGTTATGGCTACCAAATTAGTAATATAGCTTCCCTGAGTGTTTACTGTCTTCCTCTTGCAATATCGTCACACTCTTTTCCTGTTTAATACTGTAAAACTGCATGAACACAATCTGGATTGTATAAAGCACTATATAAATAAAGGTGATCTGACTTGATTTGACTATTATAGTTTTTGATAATATTTTGAATTTTGAAGATTTTTATTTTTATATTTTCTGTTTCCACTTTAATTTTAGTTCAAGTTTTAGTAACTTATTTTTTTTTATTATTTATTATTTTTTTTTATTTTTTTTTATTTTATTATTATTTTTAATAAGTCTTTTTAGTATGGTAGTTACTCATTGTTCTTTATTACTTATACTTATTTTAGTACTTCAACTTTAAATAAAAAAGAGAAATGCGGCTTATAAATGTTGAAATAAAATAGTTTAATAAAATTATTTTATTATTTTA